GGTCAGGGAATCTATCCAAATGCTGAAGAAAAATCTTCAGTGCCTTTGATGTATATCCTTTTTTTTTGGACTTTTAAAGACCACTCTGTTGATATGGTCTGTTTGATGACAAATTTAACATCGGCTCTTACCATTGCCGGAGTCAGTCTTTCTCTCCCCTATGGATTGCGGAGTTCCTAAGTGTCCTTGGAGTCCAAAGTACTGACCCTCGGAGGGTCTCTTCTGGGAAGGTCAGCCGCCCATTAAGTTGCTGGCGTTGTGTGACCGCCCCTACAAGGATGAAATCATCAGTCCACCTGTCTGTCGGGCTGGGAACGGGGAGATCACCACCATTCCCAACTCGCAGTGCAGTAGAATATGCTGAAAGTCCTCAATCCTCGTTCCAAGGCACAGACTGCAATCAGACTCGTTCTCAAACACACTTTTCATGCATGTAAACAGCAACGCAGCATACTGGCGACATGCGCCCACTCAAAACTCAGAGATATGGCTTTCAGATACGAGTTCACTCTCAATTGGCTATGGCGACTTCAGCGCCCAAACATCTCACTGTTCACATACACTGGACCACCCTGGATATCCCACACGCATCACTCTAACACTCGAACACACACACACACTCACTACTAACTACAGCTATGGCAGCTATCGCTGCATCTAACCTATCGTTATGCTAACTCCCCCTCTCTTGCCCACTGCGTCCTCCGGGCTCATCTGCAGACCTCCTTGCACAAGTCGCTGTGGCAGCGCTTCCGCATGGCTCACGCAGGAATGAATGAATGGCTGGGCGCTGCCTCTTGATTTATACTTCAGAAACTYGTTRGTCTGCCCTTTGCCATCGGYCCTTGGTGCTCACAGTCCCCCTGTGGTACTTGCTGGACCSGACTGGGACTGACTGGACCTTYCGCTGACTRAYTGTGGACTCACCGCTATCCTACCGACGTTGTGCTGCTGTTGCACTGCGGTTTAGTCCACCACTTGCCTCGCCACTTGACCACTTGCCCACTTGCCTACCTTCTAGAAGGTCTACAGCTAAGCTTCCGGAACTCACTGAGACTTCTATGCTATAGACCTACAGATCGAACCCCTGCTGCCTATGGACCTACGACAGTCCTACCAACTGTCTGCGAATACACAGGTCACAGGTTCNGACTTCTATGCTATAGACCTACAGATCGAACCCCTGCTGCCTATGGACCTACGACAGTCCTACCAACTGTCTGCGAATACACAGGTCACAGGTTCAATTCTTGGGATCTATACAGATACTGCACATAGGTAGGGTGAGGTCTAGGGATCAAACCCTGGGTACTGCATCCGCTACTACTAAAAGGTGAAAAAAGTTTCACTCCCGCCGTCCTAAATTCGAGGTCCTCCGAGAACATTTCAGTCCAAGGCGGGACCTTTACCTTTCTTGTCACGTTCATAGGCTCTGACTATGTCGGGAGCGGTTTCTAGAAGTTCTGTTTTCGTGAACCAGCGGTCGTCTTCCGGTTCCTGATAAGCAAAACGGACCTTATATTGTTTCTGGGGACGACCTCTACCTCTTGTTCTGAACACATCCTCATCTACAATGCCTTCAATGTCATAACTTCCATCCATATCCGGGGGGATCATGGATCTTCTCGAAGGGAACTGTTGACTTGTGACACACGGCAGCAGCTTTGAAGCATGAAACACAGGGTATGTACGGAGGTGTGCTGGAATCTCAATGCTATAGGACGGTCCATCCTCTCCGCCCTTGACTTCTAGAACCGGCCACGGTCCTCTATATGCGGGCAGTAATTTCTGCGAGATGTTTTCCTCAGGTGCAAACTCTTTAGCCTTGACCCAGACTAAGTCGCCTACCTGAAACTGCGACGGGCGGCGGTGCTTATTAGCTTCCTCTATCATCCTATGCTGGGCCTTCCTGAGGTTTTCAACAACAGTGGCTAGTTCTTTCTCGTGCTGTATCGCAAACTCCCTGGTACCGGGCGGTAATCTGTGAATCTGATCCCGGTTCAGTCCTTCGAACGGTCTGCGTGGTCTAAAGGACTTGTGCAACTCATTGGGAGTGCGGCAGGTGGATAGATGCACGCTGTTGTTGTATGCAGTAGCTACCTTGGGCAACATCTCATCCCAGTTAATCTGATCTGGTATAATGTACATGCGCAGAACTTGCTGTAGGATCTTGTTCATCTGTTCTGTCTGACCGTTAGTCTCTGGGTGACGGCCATATGACATTAGCAACTTAGATCCATAAACTCTCATGAGTTCTTGCCAGTTCTGGCTGGTGAAACGGCTATCTCTATCACTAACTATCAACAATGGGATTCCATTCTCACTAACCCAAAAGTAAAAAAACTTCAGTATCACTAAGTCCGTACGTGCCTCTGCAGGCAAAGGAACGAAAACTGCATGTTTGCTAAAGCGGTCAACTACGACCATGACTTGGCTCTTACCATGTCTACTCTTGACTTGGGTGTCCATGAAGTCTATGGACACGGAGTCTCCCGGCTGATCCGGAATAGGCAAGGGTCTGAGAAGACCTAGGGGCGAGCGTGCAGTAGACTTATTCCTCTGGCACAATTTACAACTGTGGACATCCTCTATACAGTCATTCTTCATCCCTGGCCAGGTATACGCACGCATCAGGTTGGCTAATGTCTTTTGCCAACCGAAATGCCCTTCAGTATCGTGGCATTCCCCTAAAATCAAATTGCGGATCTCTTCGCTGTTGGGAACGCACAGGCGGTCAAACACATTAGTCTTCTCCAACAGCAACCCGTCTGTAGTGCGGTAATCTGGTTCAGTCTCTGGGGCCTCTCTAACTCTCTTTATGAGGTCGCTATAGATAGGGCCCTGCGCATATGCTTGCCTTACTTTCTCCTGCAGGTCTCTCCCTATATCCAGATAGTGTACTACGGCCCCAAAGTAGTCTGATCTCCTACTCAGAGCATCCGCAACTACGTTGTATTTGCCCTTTACTGGCTTGAGCTCAAAGTCGAATTGGTCTATCTCTGCGGCCCACCTAGTCAACTTAGGTGTCATCTTGGCCTGTGTCTTTAACCAACGAAGTGTCTCGTGGTCAGAATACACTTTGAAGTGCCTCCCAAGCAGATAGTGCTTTCAATGGTCTAAAGCTTGCCTGAGAGCGTTGAGTTCTCTCTCGTACGTGGAGGTAGCAACCTTCTCACAGGGCATCCTCGCTCACATGAACTCTACGGGTCTATAGCCATTGTCGTCGTCTTGCTGCAACACGGCGCCTATCCCATACTGACTTGTGTCCGTGGTAACGACAAATGGCAAGGACGGATCTGCTACTTTGAGGATGGGATATTCTATAAACGCGCGCTTTAACTTCTTGAGCACAGACGTACAGTCTTTGTCCCATTGCCAGATTGCCTCTTTCTTTAGCAGTCTGCGCAAGGGGGCGGCGATAGTGGAGAAGTTCCTCACGAACTTCCTATAGTAGTTAGCTAAGCCTAGGAACGACCGCAACTCTGTCAATGTGCGGGGCGTCGGCCAGTCTCTAATTGTCGCTATCTTGCTGTCTTCTGGCTTAATGCCATCTCCGTCCAACACGTGGCCCAAGTACAAAACCTGTGTCTTGGCCCACTCACACTTTTTTGCATTGATCTTGAAGTTAGCTTCTCGTAGCTTCTCCAAGACCTGCCTCAGATGACCCTGGTGCTCCTGGAGGGTCTTACTAAAAACTAGGATATCATCTAGATAGACTACTACAAACTTATCTAACCATGGTCTAAACAGGTCATTCATACAACGTTGGAAGGTAGTTGGCGCGTTGGTTAGTCCAAAGGGCATCACTATGAACTCATAGTGCCCATATCTAGTCCGGAACACAGTCTTGTACTGGTCATCAGGATGGACTTCTATCTGATGGTATCCGGACTTCAAGTCTATTTTGGAGAAATACTTGCAACCCTGCACCCGATCTAAGAGATCGTCTATCCTGGGCAGTGGCTCAGCATTTTTTACAGTAATCGCGTTCAAACCCCTATAGTCTATGCACATTCTCAACTCTCCTTCCTTCTTGGGGACGAATAAGACTGGTGCTCCAAAAGGAGACAAACTGGGCCTGATCCAACCCTTTTCAAGGAGTTCGTTTAACTGCTTGCGAAACTGCTCTAACTCTCTAGGGGACATCCTGTAGATTGCACCCTTCGAAGTTCTACTGCCAGGCTCTATCTCTATCCTATGCTGGATAGGTCGCGGCACTACTCTCGGCGACTCAGTCAAATCTTTGAACTCTTCCAGCAACTTGGCAATTGTTGGATCTGTGGAACTATCCCTTTCCTGGGCCTCAATGATAGGTCTAACATAAAATACAAAGACTTGTTCCTCTAACTGCTCCTTCTTCACTAATCGCGCGAACGCGGGAGCACTGAGACAACAATGCGCCAAGGTGTTGTCTACACCAGACACATGGAACAAGCGGGCAGTCTTAACCTCGCCTGACGGACTAGGGAGCCTACACTCATGTTCTCTCAAATGGAGTGTGGCCCCTGCTGCCTCTCCCCAATCCATTCCTAACACTACATCGAAAGGAAGGTCATCTTGTACGAGGAGAGTTAGGGAATGGAGAACTTTTTCCACCTTCCCATCCTTCTCTAGGCGAAAGTACGCCTGGAATCCCTCTACATAGTCCTCAACGCGCATCGTGTGGTTGTCTGCGAGGACACTGACTATGGGGTCTACTAATTCCTGGACTTTTAGTCCTAGCCTCAGCTTCTTCAGCGCCCTACGGCTAATATAGCTACGGGTGGCCCCTGAATCTATAAGGGCCCCTACTCTACTCCTAAACACCTCTACATCTACTAAGATCAGTTGTCCTTTACTCTCCTTTTTCATTTTGGCCCAGGCTGGCATCCTCTCCTTTAACTCTTCTGCCACACCTGTGAGGGACGTGCCTAAAGAGACGCTAACACAGGCGGTCTCTGGACAACTATCTAGGCACGGGCTTGCAACCTCTGCCATGGGCTCATGTGGGTTGGGAGTGTCCTGTTCGCACGCGCTCACTTCTCCACATAGCCTGGAAGTAGGGGCAGTTGCAACCCCTAGTGGTGGCTGCCTTTTGACTGCTGGGCAGCCCAACGGGCCTGTCTATACTTTGGACAAAATTTGATAACGTGGGCCGGGTCACCACAGAATACGCACTGACCCATGTTCACGCGTTCTTGCCATAATCGTTGGTCCAAGCCCAGATCTTCCCAAGGCCTGCCCTGTGGCAAGCCTGGGTGCCATCCTCCTTGAGGTGCCCTTCCACCTCTACGCTGTGGGGACCGATTACACTGGCGATTTGGCGGGGGACCTTGACCCCTACCTCCCACTTGGCGGTTTCCTTGGCCGCCAACCCCATGCGCGCCCGGTCCTCGGCCTCCCATGGCCTGACCCCTTTGGCCCTGGCCTCCTCCTCTACCTTGCGGCCTCCCTCCAGCCGCGACAGCAGCGTAAGACCTCCCCTGCCCTACGTTACTGTCCTCCTCCCCTAGGCCCCACTCAATCTGATCATATGGGACCTCGTCTGTACCACCCTCCTCTCATGTCAGGATCAAGTGATCCTTGGCCTTGACTTGGCCTGAGATGGTACAATCCTTCCACTTCTTCCCCTTCTCCAGGTCCTTATGCCAGAAAGTGGTAACTGACATAGACTTCGACTCATACAGGACGACTTCTCTACTCAATGGATCGTAAGTGATGCCGGCCTGCTGAGACTTGTCAAAGAAATGTCCGCGTAGGGCCTCTGGCATGGCACGATAAAACAACTGGACCAGTTGGGGCTCAGTGACCCCATGGTCCGGGACGACTACTAAGTCATCCATGGTACCCTTGAGTGCCTTGGCACTCCTCTTTTGCCGTGAGTGGATTGTCTGCAACTTATCTGAGGCTCAGACGCCTCGCGTTGGGTCAGCAAATCGCTCCTTAAGGAGCTTGAGGAGCTGAGAGAGAGGGGTGACTTTGGAGTATGCAACCAGGTTGTTTTCACAACCGGCTGCGCGCGCAAGGGACCTGGCGAAGCTAGCCGCTTCGTCTTTCAGGGCCTGGAAGGCCACGAGGACTTGCTCCTCTATATCAGGATATGCTGTAAATAAATGTAACTATTGACACAGGCCTCCCAGTTGTCAAAGTTCTCCTCCTTCTTTCCCCCGTACGTGTCTGAAAACTTGAGCTTGACAGGCTCCTTACGGGGTCTCGCCTCGCCATCTACAGCGGCTATGGCTTTTGCACCTTCAATGGCGCCTTCACAGAACTTTCCTATATTGTCCCTCAACTGTTTGACTTCGCTCCCAATATGGGTGACGATTTCGCGCGCAAAATCCCTGAAACCGGACCGCATGGCACTCAACGCTATATCCTGGCTCCAACTTGCCTGG